AACATACTAGGGACAGGAATAGTTTCCGCCTCATTAGCCGGTTGTGAGAATATTAGATCCTCAGATTCGTCCAGAGACCCTGTTGACAATGGATGAGGGTTTGATGTGCCTAGTTTAGCGGTGTTCTTTGACTTGAACAGTAAGGATTTAAAGAGGGGCGGGTGAAAAAGGCCAGAAAAAGTAGGTTGGTCAGGAAGGAGGCCTTCGTCGTCCGAAATTCCCGTTCTAGTGGGTCAGCCTCTGACAACCCCAAGTCCATCTGATGGATCGACCCCCCGCTCCATGGGAACATCCTGATCCTCAAAGTCCACCTCCTCCCGAAGACCTTGGCCTGGTATGTTGGGAATATTGGGGAATACCTGAGATTGATGTTGTCCAATATGCGCAAGGGATCGAGCGGACAGGGATCCCGCATCCGAAGCGGCCAAGAAGTGTCTGGTCCTGATGGTTTGCTGAACTCCAGCCGCAATGACCCTTTGAATCACCATCTCTATCCATTGCCTCATTTTGATGGGGATAGTCTCAGGTAATCCCTCCTCCTGTTTTAGGCTGGCGGCCGTAGGGGTGAAGGTTGCCTCTGGGATTGGCCGGGCAGTGCTCATTGGAGGAGATGTGCCTATGGGAGGTTGTCCAGAAACAGCCTGCCTGGGCTGGGTAGATAAGTCCAAGGGCCCCATCAATGGGTTTGGGTTCTGATCAGATTGTTGTGTCATAGCCATCTTGTCTGCCTCCCTGGATCTTTTCTGCAATTGCCTTTCCAAAGCTAGGTGCCGTCTATGGGCATCCTTATCCGCCGCCTTAGAGGCCTTTTTGGGGCCCACTGGCTTATCTCGGGACTTATTTGACTTGGAGCGGAAAGCGTTGTCACCTTCCATTGTGGATGACAGATTGTCTTGCCTCTGAGTTTAATTTTAAATTTTCTTTTTTATAAATTTAAATTACGATGATGATGATTGTTGTTGTTAATATTTGTACTTTGGGGTGATGCCTTCCCCTGCAGTTGAAAGTAGAACGCTCCTCCAGTATAGTAAGATATATATATATGTGTGTGTTTTCTGAGGTTCTCGCGGGTATATGGTAAACAGTATCTAAGGGTCCCCAACAAGGGAAACCCCCAAGTGCTCCAAGCGAGAAAAACTCTGGATCCCTGGTCCCCAAGAAGGGAAATCAGCTGTACAGGCTCTGAGGTGAATCCTTTCCTGTCAAAACCAAACGTCCCACAATTTAAATGGCACTTTCAGTTTCAGTCCAAAGAAATGATCCAAAGGCAATTGCAAAGAAATGCCTGTTTAATGGCTAGCCTGCTTTTCCAACGTTAGCCAGAGAAGGGAGAGCTAAACCCAGGGAGAACAAAGTGGAAAGGTACTGCCTCGGTCCCCAGCAAGGGAAACCAGCGAGTAATGGCGCCTGCGATGATTAGGCGCGAAGTTGAGCCAGCCATTGAAAAGGGCAGGAAGCAGAATCACCGTTGCTAATGTGTGAGCCGTCTAATGAGCCGCTGCTGCTGAGGCTCTAACTTGCGAGTTAAATGCTGCTGTCAGACGAAACGGCAAGGCGAAGTGAGACGCGGCTGCGAGCACTCTGCTCCAATTGCAGAGAAAGCGATCGGAAAGTTAGATAATTGCCTGAGGCGGTAGCCTCAAGCTGCCTGCGGAGTGGCAGGCTCCACTATTTACAAAGAAACTGGGTTTTTTTTGGTTTTTTGAACTAATAGAGGTAACCTAATAGAGGGACAAGCCTGAAAAAGCCAAATTAAATGGTGAAGAATTTTAAAAGCCGAAATAGCCCAGAGCAAACCTGAATCAGAAAACCGTTCCAGTCAGGGAGTGCACAACCTCTTACCACGAAGGCTGAGCTAAAGCTGGGGGGCGCTGAGGAGGTGTCCGTGAAGGAGGAGGAGCATCCCGGAGTTTTAAGCCCAGCCTATCCAGAAGAGACTGAAGCACCTCCCACTTGTGGATGCTCTGAACAGCTCATGGGAGAAATAACTATTTTGATGACTTTAGAGTAGACTTAGAATAATTATCCTTATAACCCCTTCCTAAGAGGCCTGTAGAGGGTGTGCATAAGCGCACCAATCATGCCTACCGTCCCTGTCCTATTGTTTCTTTTTATTTTTCTTCTAAGTATCCATCTCATGTATTCAAAACTATGTTTATTCTTATACCTGTATCTTGTAAGCGATTGACAAATCAAATAAATAAATAAATAAATTATGCTATCACCACATACTTCTGCCGGCCTGTCTTCTGCAGCAAAACACTTTTATTCTCAAGGTAAAGAGATACTATCCTAAGAAACCTGCAATCTCCAAACTGCCAAATTTCTCTTTTTATTTTCTCTTAGTCAAGGAATATGAAAGTTTGGCTGTTTAATTTGGAATGCAAGAAGGGAGCGAGGCAAAATGGACATAACTTCTTTTTTCCTTTTTTCCATACAAGGAGGATACGTGGCTTTCCCCCCACTTTTTCTTGTTGCTTGTAAAGTGCTGTTTGCTTTGTTCTACTAACTTCTGATCTAATCTGGCATTATTAGAGGAAACTACCCTTTATTAGATGCCATTTTGATCTAGTAACAGACCTTTTCATCTCTCCCTTAAAATGATTACGATGAAGGCAGCCACCGAGAAACCCAGCACAGCAATCCTAGGCTTCCTTACTTAAGAGAAGAAACTCCTGCTGTGTTCAGAGAGACTTATTCCCATCTATTACACACAAAAGTGTAGCCAAAAGAATTAACACTTTATGAAGCTACAATTCTATGTATATTTACCAGGGATCAATTCCACTGAATTCATTAGGATTTGTGTAGCATTGTGCTATTAGATGGATAAAGGGCACTATTTATTTATGAATATATCAAGTGGTAATTTTGTATTGTGACAGAATTTATACTGCTACATTTAATATAGGAATATTTACTACACGACAAAAGTTCAATTTGCAAGAACTATTTTTTTCTAAAAATGTAATTTCTTTCCCCAGAGCTTCAAAATTTTGGAGATTTTTTTTATCTTTAAAGAGGCAGCTCATTTAAGTTCAGACAAATAGTTCTGAAAACTGGGCTGTAGCAACTTGTGTTCCATTAATCAATTCTTTCTAGCAACAGTGATGACTAAGAAAGAAATAAGATATAAGCTGAGGTTTCTGAAAACCTCAGAAAACACACACACACACACACACATATATATGTATAGTATTCAGCTTTGTTCGGGTATTTTCCCACGTCATTATAGTCGTGCTTTTAAAATTGTAGCAACGTTTCGGCAGAATCTCATCTGCCATCATCAGGCTTCTGTATTGTGTTCGTCTGTGAGTCAGGCTTTGCCGAAGACACAAGCCTGAAGATGATGAATGAGACTTCATCGAAACGTCGCCTAGATACTTCCAATTTTACGCGGGAGAAAATCCAAATAACCAAAGATAGATAGATAGATAGATAGATAGATAGATAGATAGATAGATAGATAGATACACACACACACACACACAAAATCTGTCTCTTTGCTCTGAGTATTTTACCAATGTCAATTTGTAAAATCTATTGCTTACAAGGAAAGCTCACAAATTCAACCTCTAATATATGATGCAGGTTTAAGAAAATACTTATTTGAACCTATAAAAATTATTTGTAGTTGTAGGGTTGAAATGAGAGGTCCTTTGATGCACTCTGAGCTTGATTGTTGTTTTTTTTTTTGCAGTTGTTTCATTATCCAAACTGAGTAACATCAATGCTAATCATCTGATGATGTTACCTAGTTTGACTAATGAGATATCTGCAAGAAAGCTGAACCATTGGAAACTGAATATCTTCCACTGAGACACAATGATTTTTATCGGGATCAGAATTTGATATGAAAGTTAAAAATATAGTTGATAGATATACTCCATAAATTTAATAATTTTTCACATGGCAGTAAGTTTGCTTAAAGCATGGTGGTATAGTTCCAGTAAATACCACATCAACTAACATGTTTCAGAAATTACCGATTATGAATCTGAACTCCAAATTATTGTATTTCAAACTCTATCTAGCTTTTCATCTAAATTTCCTGTTTAAAAAAATTATCTGTGTAGCTCATTTTTGAAAAGCAGATTTGTTTCATCATTCCTGTAGGAAACCAAATGTTGCACACTATTTTTTTTACTAAATGGGATCCAAGTGTTATTTTAAAATCTCCTTGTTTTATTAAAACAAGCCACAGATATACCCTTTTTTTTTGCTTGAAATTTGGTTTAAACTTTTAAAGGAACCCAATCAAATAGTTAAAATTTAAGTGCTTACCTAATGAATATTTTCCTAACATTTTATAATGTCTATGAAAATAAAGCACTCAAATTCTTATATGGAGTATATTCCATAGTATAATCTGCCCAGTTTATTACATTGCTTCATTCATATAACATACCGAAAGATAACAGACCTATGTATTCACTGAGCTGGCAATACATGGATAACAAAAATCGAGTTTAATAAAAATGAACTTGTCAATATTTATGTATCAAGTCAATTTTCCTTTCAGTCTTATTGTTTAAAATACAGTGATTTGCTTTTCTCAGGATCTTGCATTATCCTAACATTGAAAAATGGGAATTGTAAGGTTTGTTTTAAAGCCTCAATGATGATTATGAGTTTGTATTTTACGTTTTCTTAGTTTAAGAAACTGCTAAGAAGCTCCACAGTACAAGACTTTACTCCCCCCCCACCCTTTTAAAACATACACTATTTTTTTTAGAATTTTATAAGGAACATTTTCTTCATTCGATGCTTGAGATTACAGCAACTATAAATTTATTACAAGGCATGAAACAGGCTTCAAATATGCAGCTTCAAGGTGGAAATGACTCAGCCTTGCCTGACTACAAACCAGGAGTTATTTTTATCCATGCATATTTATGAACAATTCCAGCAGAAAATTGTATTTTCTGCCCCACATAAACGTTTATATGTTCGATATTTTGGAGGCTGAGAAAGACAGGGCAGCACAGCTTTCTACTTACCAGTGACTTGGTCAACGAGAATGCGGGAAGTAATAATACGTCCATATTGGGAAAACAGCTGCTCTAGCTCTTTCTGAGTCATAGTTTTGGGGAGACCGCTGACGTACAGGTTTGCATCTCTAATAGAAGCTGAGCTTGGCCGTGCATAAGAAACCTGCACAATGAAAAAAAGCAACTTGATCATGCAAATGACCGTATAATTGGACTAGACGGTTGCCTACTTTTAAAAACACATGCGTTGTTAACTCTACTTTCAGATCATGCATCCTTGGCCTGTTTTGCCTATTACTGTGTCATGGAGGGAAACAGGGCAGAATGCCATTTGTATAGGAACCTAATGGGATTATATTAAGCCATAAGGAGACCCGGTTTGTTTGGGATCAGCACGCTCCCTGTGGCTGTTGTTCTTTGTTGCCCTAGAGCAGCGGTTGGGAACCGTGGCCCTTTTATGACTTGTGGACTTCAACTCCTAGAATGTTCTGGCCTGCCAGCTGCCAGCGGAGATGGCGGCAGAATCGGATGATGAGAAGGAACCTGGGCCAGTTCTGGAGTCTGGGGAAAGTCCTGATGGATGCTCTGTGTCAGACGCAGAGACAGACCCAGAGCCATCCAACATTTCCCAGCCACCAGAGAGGCAGCTGACTTTGGAGGCTGATATGACTGAGGAGGAAGAGCAGCTGGGGCCTGTTCCAGACGCACATATGTGCACAGCTGTTAAGAAAGGGGAACAACTGAGGACAAGGAGTTGACTTGGAAGCAAGGCACACATGAATGCTGAATGGCCCCTCCCTGGCTGGGAAATAAATGGAAGGAAAGGGGAGTGGTTGTCGTAGGCGACAACAGTTCGTCTTTCTGAAGATTTTGTTCATTGTGTTTCATGCCACAGAGACTGCTTGCCAGAACTTAATTTGCAGCCTTTAGGATGGGAGCTCATGGCCTTGCACTTATCTCAAGGAACTGACAAGGTCTGTTGCTGCCATTAAACCTTTGAAGGACTATTGCCTGGACTATTTGGTGAGTGAATGCAATTAATTCACAAGAGGTAAATAAAAAGAGGCTTTTCGTGACAAGGAGTCTGTTTCTTACTTCTGCTAAGGATTGGTCAGAACACAGAATTCCTGAGCCAGCTGGTTGACCACAAGTCATAAAAGGGCCATGGTTCCACATTCATGCCCTAGAGCAGGGGTGTCAAACTCTCGTCATCACAGCATCATCACAACTTTTTCTCCATTCGCTACACTGGGCTTGGGCATGGCCAACGCATGATGCATTTGACAGCCCTGCCCTAGAGTTTCCTAGAAAAATAAAAAAGGCAAAAGTGGATAAAAAACTTGGCATGCCACACATTAATGGTGGTACCAAATCCTACTGTGCCCTGTACAGGTTTTTTTTACCCTTTACCAGAAAAAAAGTTAAAAACCAGGAAGTGAGAAGGCAAATGCAAGCCTTGGGCTTGGTAACTTGCAGCAGAGGTGAGTTAAAAAGAACTGATGAACAAATATTCAGGATTATATCATCTAGAATGCATAAATGCACCAAATTACTGCTGGCAAATATGAACAACATGAAGGGACATTTTATCACGCTTGATGAACAAGCTGAAAAGGCTGAAAATTTTTGGATCCCAATATATACTTTGATACACAGAATTTTAAAGATTAATATTCCGTTGAAGCCAGAATTTTCCGATGAATGAACAAGCAGTTAGAAAAAAACCCCAGATTATTTCAATATATGGTCTAACAGAAAGATTACTGTAGGCACAGAGAAGGAAAGATTCAACACCAGCCACTAAGGAAGAATAGTTGGTGAAGTTGACAGATTTTGCTGAAATGGATAAATTAACTTATTTGAATAGAGAAAAAGCATTGTCTACGTCTACTGGTGAATGGACGCCACTTACGAAAATTTAAATAAAAATGGGGGGAAAAATGAATTTGTGGCTTAGGGTTTTGACAGTTAGACAAGAAAGACTGTAGAAAGAATAATATAATGTAATTTTAGAAATATATTTGCGCTTATAACTGTCATGAAGAATACTGAAGGTTACTTTTTTATACTTCTTTTCTAGTTTAACTTTTTTCTTTTCTTATGGTTTTTGCTTTTACATTGCCTTTCTTTTTCTCTGTTTACTACTAGTTTCCTTAGATTTCATCTACCTGTTTAAAAGTCTTGATAATATTTTTCAAGGATTATACTGTCATATTCTTGCAGGGCAAAGAGTGGATACAGGGAAGCATACAGTAATATTTAAGTTTAGTTTTGTCATGTGCTATACTCTCAGATTCATCCCACCATAACTCCACTGCACAATCCCTTCCTTCCTTTACCTACTGATGTTCTGATGCTACACTGAGCAGAGCGCGATCCTACCTGTTCCGCTACTGGTTCGATGATCGCACGCGCATCCATGCACACCTAATGCATGCAACGTTCCCCAAACCAGCTGAGGCCTGCAGCACCAATCAGCTGAGAGGATAAAGAAGAGAAAAGCACAGGGGCAGGTGGGACGGCCGATTCTGCGCTTCTCTCTTCTTTTTCCTCTCAGGGAGGCTTTTTTCCCTCCTCACAGATGATTGTTGGAGGCTTTTTACTAATGATTCAGGTGAACCGGTCGGAACCGTTAGCATACTACCACTGGCCCGAGTAGTGCTATTATTGCATACCCTCAAATGCATAGCCATCTTATTCCTTGCTTGCCAGGGAAAAAAAACATCAGCCCAGCCAGCTTCTCTAAATAAAGTCACCTTTTTTAAAATAAGAAACTATAGAACATTTCATGCAATTGCGATAGATAGATAGATAGATAGATAGATAGATAGATATAAAGGAATGAAGTTATATTAATTGATTTCACTGGCTATATAGAGGGGACACTCTGCTGGTAAATCTACTACAGTGTTTCTCATATAATAAGGCCAGGTCTTTTTTTTTTTTTTTTTTAGCCCCGAAAAAATGGCTAGGCCGTCTTTTCGGGGGTGACTTAATTCCCCACCTTTGCATCTTCGGGCAGGCGGGCGGCGATGGCTTGGATGTTGACCTCGGTGTTGGTGGGGCACTTTGTATCAGGGTCAACACACACAGCACCATATCCTGGTGTGCAACAAAAGTACTTCCTAACAGTAAGCCCCCCCTGCCATTTCCCCCCCCCCCATTTCACATGTTTTAATATAGGCATTAATTTGGGGGGAGGGGCTTAATTTCATTTCATGCCTATAAAACATGCTGGGACTTCCTATTGGGGGAGGCCGTATTGTTGGAGAAACAGGGTATTAAGATATCATTAATTTCTGTCTTGTTATGAGTGAAGCTCAGGAAGCCAAAAATATTTTGTTTTAAGCTGAAAGCTGAAGTATAAACAGATTTCAGGAAAGCTTTAGTCCCCTGCCCCTTATTGGCGCTTTTCAATTATTATTACAGAAGGTTGGCAACAAAATTACATGTATGTATGACAAATACAAAAATATAAATAAGTGCTACCCATGTGTTAGCAATTGCATAAAATGTTCTATAGTTCCTTATTTTAAAAAAGGTGACTTTATTTAGAGAAATTATTTCACACAGTTTAAAATACATTTTTTTTAAAAAAATAAGGAAGTGTAACCTAAACTGTATGAAACTGGTGCCAGCTTGGGAAAGGCTGCTGTAACTAATAATCAATGTTACAGAAGAATGGATATGATAAATAATAAATATAGCAAATATATAAATCTGCTTTATCACACATTTTTTCCTATGTAGGTCAGATCAATTTTTAAATAGTATTGCTTTTCACATAAAGGATTTCTAAAAGTCAATGCAATTCCTTAAGATTTTTATCGGTAAGATTTGATAAAGTATCTTTTCATCTATTTTAATCCAACTGAAATACATAATCCTTTTCACCGAAACACTAACTTTAATTCAGAAGCAGGGCTTGGAACTCCTTAAGTTTGTCTTGAGTCTTCCTTCATCAAAATTTCATTTACAAAGTTATACAACACTCTTACGTGATTCGTTGAGGTACACTAAATTGTCTAAAGAACACTATTTGGTTTGTAAAATTGCTTGGAACTAGGACTGTCAGCTAATTTATTCCAAAGCAAATTGGTGCTTTAGAGCACTTTTCAGTCACTCAAAAAGGATATTCTGTGGCTCTAAGTCAAAATGTCGAAGTAAATAAGAGCTCCAAATACAAAAATATTTCAAAGAAGAAAGAACGCTGACCAAAATAGCACATTGTCTCTGACTATCACTGGACAAGTAATTCAGCAATAACTGCATTGTTTGGGACAATATAATTGAACTCCTTATTTAGCAAATAGTATTAGTATCCTAAGTAGGAGGCAGGTGGAAATTCATTTCTAGTTTTATTTTGAACTTTTAGGTTTAGTTATGAACTGAAATTTAGTAACATGAAGTGTATACATTTTTTAAATTTCTATCTTTAGAAATGGAAAAAAATGAATTAGGGTCAGTAACTGCAAAAAAGAAAAAAAAAGAAAAACCAAACATGCACAATGATACAGTATGAATTCAATTAGTTCTTAAAAGATCAAGCAGCCCTGTGTTTAACCATGGCTTTGGAGAGTCACAGCACTATTCACAGGCAGTTATAAAAATAAATAATAAAGCTGCCCTAAATGCACAGGGATAATAAATAAAATAAAAAATATATTTTTGAAAACATCTCTTCCGTAAAGAAATGTTATTTTGAATTTTGGGATAGGAGCAGTGGTGAGATTCAGCTGGTTCGCATGAACCGGTTGTTAAATACCCCCCTGCTATCAAAATGTATCCTGGACGCTACAATGGAGAAACAGGCAACAGAGTTGCCAGTGTGAGGGAAGGAGAAGGCCCCTTTCCCTCTTTCTTCTCCCTGCTCCTCCTCCTTCCCTCGTGCTGGCTGCTCCATTGCCTATTTCTCTATTGCAGTGCAGCAGCTCCACTTTGACAGTGCCCGGGGTGGGGGAGTAATTTAGTGACAGGTTTGCACAGGGTCAGGTTGGCCATTATGAGAGACTCGTCCCACATGTGCGGTGGAGCTGGAGGATGGGCCACGCCTCCCACAACAGCAAACCTGGCCTGGGGCAAACCAGTTGTTAAATTATTTGAATCCCACCTTTGGGTAGGAATCCCCTCAAGAGAAAAAGGAAACAGCTGAACTCCGGATAG